TTTTTCGGTAAAAAGCGACATCTTGTGGTCAATTGTGGACACTACAAGAATCAGTCATATTTATGTTTTAACCCCCTCAGCTACAGACATTTGTGACATCGGTCAATTCCAACCCTCAGGTCCTCAGGGAATTAACTCCTCCCTCCTCCGAGGCAGAGTCAAAAACACCGAAGGTCGAGGGGAGTGTTTCAGCTTCTACAAGCACACAGAACTTCCACCGTTCCGCCATCTGCTCACTCTCATCTCCGACTGAACGGGGACCGGCGCTGGAGGAACAGACACGCCTAGAAAGGACACTTTGTCGGTCACGCCCACTATGGGTGTGGTCTGAACAAGACACGCCCACGACAGGAAAGGCCTATACCACACACACCCAAACCTGGGAGTGACCTGCAATATCCCCGCCCACAGTGGGAGTGACAGTGTAGCAAACGCCCACACGAGTTTCAGTAATCCCTCGGTTTAACGGATTTATATAGGGAAAGCAGAGCGTAATAGACTAAATGTCTATTAAATACGAATTAAAGAACAAAAACACTATTATATGAGAAACAATTCTATACTTTATATATGCTTTCAGGATCTGCAGTCTTTGTTTTACAATTGCAATCAACACAATGAAAATAAGATTTTTAGTCACCTATTGCCAAGAACCAGGCTTTACTGGAACGCTGGCAGGATACACGATGGATCGGACACCAGTCCATCACAGGGCAGACAGGCACACAAACACACTCACACAGAGCCAATTAACCTACAAGCATGTCTTTGGACCGTGGAAGGAATCCCCCACAAACACAGGAAGAACAAACTCACATCGGAGGATTACACTGTACTCCTTCAGCACCGGCTTCGCAGACAAATCCATCCGTAATAATGAGCAAAAAACATCTATGGTCACTTATCAGGACTAAAGACAGCTACAACACGCCAGGAAACCACACTGAGTTCACTGGACCACCCAGACGTGGCGTCTGGCGTTCTCCAATCCAACCCTTATTTATTTTGTGGTGGTGAAGGCGTTCTCAGTTATACACCGTGTAACTGGTTTAGTCACACTTCTGGGAAAAACGAGCGAACATCGGCAGCGTCACCCGACGGGATCAGGTTTAGGAATGGCGAGAAGGGGAGTGAACCCAAGAACGAAGCTCTCTGGCAGTCAGGCCAAACAAAAAGGCTGGAATCGACACCCTTCCTCTGACAGCTTCCCTCTGCACACTGACGGGTCACACGTGCAGCCAAAGACCAGAAAACCACATTAAAGGTTCATCAAAACACAAAATATTTATTCTGGAAAAAAAAAAGATTTAAGACGCTTCCACAAATAAAAATGTCAGGTTCTCGTTAAGACCCCTCACGTTTCGACCCCGCCAGTTGTTCAGAGGCTCAGCTGCAGGCACGTCTGCGCTGGTTCTTCCAAGACGCACTGTAAAGATCACACTGACCCTGTTCCCTAAAGTCGGGATCATCCCAACTCTTCCTGGACGATTCTGCCCCTCTCTCGGCGAAGTCGAAACGTCTGCAGGGACGCGGCGCCCAGGCTCCAGTTCTGGGAGAGCGGGGCTCAGTTCTGCCGGAGGCTACGCTGATGAGAAAAGCTGTATGTGATCTGCAGGTGTTCGGATCACAGTACAGCCCGGCCCACAGGCTCAACCTGAGGTGCTTAAAATGTCGGTTTGGTTCGATCCGTTAGGATCCGCGTTCTCTCTGTGGCTGTGATCGGCACACAGGTGAGCAGGCCTGTTATTAAAACAACTATGTTAATTGTTTAATTGAGCACTCTGGCTGGAAACCCCAGCTTCTCCAAAATCGCCAATCTGTTTACTAAAATGTGATATTCAGGTTAATATTAACCGCACAAAAGGAAACTGCACGGATTTGTTTTTTTTACAAAGGTCATGGGACAGGCCCACTCGCCACAGAGCAACACCCCCCCGTCACGTCCCTACTGACAGGGCCAGCAGTGACAGCTGCACGGGTAACAGCTTTCAAACCCCCCAAAACACAGGACCCCAACACCGGGGTCCCCCGCCAAGCTTAGTCTGACCCTTGACCTCAGTGCCAATCACAAGCAGGTAAAAAAAACACAACCGGTTAAATAAATAAATTGCAATCAGAGTGGACTCACTACTGCCCCCTATTGGCCTAAAAGTTAGTTAGTGGCTGCAATACACAGTTTCATATATACCGTATATCCATTCCATTATATACAGTACATATCGCTTAATATACATGTTATATACATTTAATACAGTTCCTATTTGTACATTTACAGTACAGAATATATATAGAGCGATTTCTAGAAATTGCATTTCTGCTTACATGACGGATCCACAGACACATCAAAGCCCAGTGAGGACTGATTGTAAAATCCTGCTCTCGAAGCAGGCGGTACAGGACCGCAGTTAAGCCTAATGCTACAACAAGCCAAAACCAAAGATAAAAGAAACTTATTTGTGTGGATCCTTCACTAACACTACAATCCACAGCTCGGACTTCAGACTCATGCTGCCTGTGGATCCCTCGTTTCAGAATAAATACACCAGCTTAAAAATGTCTTCCTTAGCACCCCAAAACTCTTGTGTGCGTGGGGGCTGTGAGGAATTCGGCACACAAACCTGGGGTCCTGACCCCTGTACTTGTTATCTCCCTCTCCATCTCCACACCGCTCTTTCCTTGTTCCAGTTTCTCTCTCTATTCCCAAAATATCCCCCCCCCCCACCCCCTCAGGAAAGACAAAACACTGAAGAAATCGAATTAAAAGCCTAACAAGGCCCGTGGCGCCCTGGGCGCTGTCTCGTCTGGTGCGGCCTGCGTGCAGCCCTGGCACACACATCTTGCCCTTTCTCAGATGACCACAGAGTGGGGGACAGCCACACCCCTTGGGACCCCCCTGTCTCTCAGCTGTACAGGTCGTTTTGGGGGTCAAGCATGGCCGCCGCCATCACAGATGGGCACAAACCATAAAACACGGAGCTCCGGAGAAAAGCGTTTGAGGAAGCAATACAATGACGATCCCCCCCCCCCAAAAAGGAAAAAGGCGGAAAGCAACTGGGAACTGGGCCGGCTTTGCCATTAAAACCTGCGTTGGTAACTTAAACGGGGCGTCCTGGGGGCGTCTGAGAGTGCAAGAGTGTGTGCGGGTGAAAGCCAGGCAGACGGACACAGGGGCAGCGTGGACTGGCAGCAGGGGCTCGGCTCACGCAGTCTCTGCGTTGCCGCTGCCTGCGGGCGTGGCCTTCTTCTTCGGCTGCCTCTTCACCGTCTTAGTTTGCGCCTGAGAGGACACAGATCCAGAGAGGGGGGGGGGAGAGAGAGAAGGAACCAGGGAGGGAGGGAGAGAGAGGAACGCGGTGACAGAGACAGATGAGGAGAGAGGGAGAGATGGGGCAGAAACAGTAAAAAGGAGAGAGCGAGGAAGAGAGCCGTCAGACAAGAACTGATTGTTCAAGGGTCATTTCTCTCCCTGTCTGCCTGATTATTCCTGGGCTGATCCCTCAGATCACTGCACTCTGAACTCAAACACCCACTGCATTCCAGCGCTAAACGTATACTCAGACATGCTGGACCAAATACAATGCATGAGACAGCATGTGCTTTTACCACAATCACACTGGGCTTCACTGCACTGTGCTGTGATTATACCTTAATCTCACTGGGCTTTACTGCACTGCCCTGCACTGTGCTTTTACCCTGATCTCACTGGACTTTACTGTACTATACTGTGCTTTTACCCTGATCTCACTGTGCTTTACTGCACTGC